ACCAGATAAATCCGACTCCAAAAATTAGGAGTTAAACATAAAATTAATGAAGTTAAATAGATATTAAGTAGAACCCATAAAGTCCATGTGCGTCTGTATACAAATTTTACAGGTTCAAAATATATATATATATATATATATATATATATATATATATATATATATATATATATATATATATATATATATATTCTACAGCTATCAAAGGCATGGTTTATACCAGTGAAGAAAGTGACTCGTGTGTTTGTAGCATAACCGAAACACGTATCAAGACTCAATCCCTTAAATACATTTCAGCATTAAATTCATCTCTAGCAAAACCTTGCAGCGAAACTATCAAGTATCAGTCAGATCACCGGTAAAATGTTTTGTATTAAATCCGATGGACAATGTTGAGTAACAAACATTCTAAAAATACTAATGGAAATTGAGTCATGGTCCAATAATATTTTACACTGCATACAAGTAGTCCACTACTTACAAGGTAACAGAGATGCTCAAGTGTAAATCCGTTTGTGGAGTTGATATGGTCCATAAGCCTGCCTGGGGTTGCCACCAATATATCCACTGAACTTTGCAATTCGAGTGTCACATCTTCTGGGTCATAACACATGCCTGCCTCAGGCTTAGGTCTCTTTATAAGCTCCGCAATTTCATCAGCAATCGAAGATTGACCCACTGCTAAACCAACAGATAAACCCACTGCTGGTGAAATGGCCCCAAAAACTTCCTTAAACTGAAGAAAATGATATAAAAACCAACATGTTAATCCTAACCACCAGACAAAAACAGCAAATTACCTTACGAAAAGGAGGATCCAAATGACCAAAGAAAAAGCATAACAGATAGTTCATGTCATTGTTAAAAAAAATATGAAAGCGAATTTTAATTCTTTACAAACAGTTCAACAATCACGCTTCACATGCAGCTATGTAATGTTACTTACCTCTCACGGTTGCTTGAGGCAAAGAGACAGAACAAACAAAATGGGAATCGTTGTATAAGCAAGGTGAGATTAACCTGCAGCTAATATATTATTTATAATTAATTTAAGATTTTAATATTTTTAAACTAAAATTATTTATTTAATATTTATTTATTAATGATTATATATATTAAATCATATTTAAAATTAAATTAAAAATTTATTTAACGTACCCGAATTCACGAGCACAATTAAAAATCAAAAGATAAATTTATAATTTGAATCTTAAATATTTTTTCTTATGGTTAGAATTTGAATATTAAATAATTTTTTTATGATTTCATATATATAATCATTAAAAAATAAATATGAAAAAAATAAATTAGTTTAAAAATATTAAAATCTTAAATCAATTATAAAGAAACTATTCGATTTATTTTAGTGATTTAAGTGTTATTATATTCTCAATTGGCCTAGATGTAAGTTCTCACTTATTTATTTTTATTTTTTTATCATTAACTATAAAATATATATATATATAATATTATAATTGATTCCTAAATATTATATTTAGCTTTTTGGTTACTAATTCATTGTGGTTTCAAATCCAATTAAGTTATTTTTAAAAAAAAATTCTTCCAAAACTTGAACAAATTATATAACATAAATATTATCTTAATAACAAGCGTGTGAATTAGCTAAGTGGTTAAGGCATGCACATGTTACCCTTGGGTGTCAAAACTCATCTTCATTTTTTTCACTTCAATTCAAAATGTGGCATGTGTTACAATTTGATTGGAGAAATAAATTTATTAAATTAAATTGAAATTATGACCTAATTAAAAATTAAGAATTAAAGTTTACGTTGGTGATTGTTGAACTAAGATTTTGATATAAAAATAATTTGTAAAATTGATTTTGGACTTAATTGAATTGATCAAAACTTTATCAAAAATAATTCAAAGTCCAAATTTACTTGAAAAATCTATTTTAAATGTTTTTCAATTTAGTAGAACCTTTTCAAAAACATACTCAATCGTTTTCACGCTTTAAAGTTAAGTTTCCAAGCTTTTCTGGCTCAAAGGATCAATCCCTTAGGAAAAATATCAATCCCTTTGACCAAGGATCGATCCCTCGAGTAAAATGATAGATCCTTTTACCAAAAGGATTGATCCATTGATGAAAAGGATCGATCCCTTCACCAAAAGGATCGGTTCTTTTCTTACAATTGTCGAATTATTTGAAAAAGATCGATCCCTTTCACAAAGGGATCGATCCCTTGTGCATTAAATGTTGCTTTTGGTTGTAGGTAGCGGCTATAATGATCCCCAATGGGCAACGACTCCAAACAGCTAGAATTAATGAAGAAGATATAAATTGAAGGTCAAAAAGAAATATATTGAACCAACCTACCAACGTCAAAGTTTTGTTTTGTGCTTATTTTTTCAAATTCTTTGTTGTAATCATACTTGTGAGCTACATTGTTTATTTTGTTCAAGTATGTATTGGAAGAGTGCTTAAAATGTGCAAACATTTTTGCCTTGTGAGATTTTCTCTTTGTTTGCTTCATTTGTATTTACTCTTTGGGAGAATGTGTATTCAAGGTTTTGAGGTATAAACCTTGAAGTGTTTGTAAGGTTACACATTGTCCTTAAAAGTAAGCAAATCTAGTAGATTTGAAAATTCCTTAATGTGGATGCTAAGGTAGTGGATGTAGACTTTGTTTGAGAAAGTCGAACCACTCTAAATCGGTGTGCAAAAATTTTATTTTTTGATTGCTTCCACCAAAATTCTTAAAAGGCCAATTCACCCCTCTTTTAATCATTCGGTTGATCGATAAAGCAACAATGATCAAATTGATTAATTTTAAATCTAAGGGATTTAATCTATTAATTTAATGCATGACTATAATAAAAGATTTTAAAGGTAATGCTCAAATTAAGGCATTAGAAAAATTAAAAATAGAATCATGATCAAATTGCATTAAATGAAAATCCAAGGAAATAAATCATATACAAAGTAGTGACCAAAATGGAAGAAAACAAAGCAGGGTTCTAGCACCGTGAATACATAAATTTACGAGGACCCACACCATAATTATGCTAATTTTGTTAAGTGTCACATAAACACTTCCATTAAATGTTAATGACAGATGGCAATATTGAAACTATTTAAATAGTTCAGTGGTCATATTGATGCAAATTAGAAAATGGTGATCATTTCGAGACCAATTCCATAGTTGGGTGGTCATTTATGTAGTTTACCCTAAAATTTATAACAAATATAAATAAAAAAATTGGAGTGTTTGCGGTTTGTACTGTATATAAATTATAGATTTAAAATATGTTTGATCATCATTAAAATTTATTAATTTTGTTGATTTAACATTTTAAACATATTTAATAAGTTAAATAATTTTTTAATTTTAATACATGTCGAAGTTATATTTTGATGATTTAAACACTTTAAAAGACATCACATGATTGGAGTCGTTATCAGTTAATTTGTGCTTAATACGTACGTGTGTGTATCGGTCTGCGTCTAAACCAAAAATCAAAATTGAGATTAGAAATTGATTATGCGTAAGAAAAATTAGAACATCCCACTATATTAGTGCCTCCTGATCATTATGTTGTCTTGAACAAAAAATATATTTTTTATGTTGCAAAAAATAAGAGAAAAAAGTGTTAACAACAACAATAATAATAATAATAATGCATGCTTTAAAAAAAACGTCACTACAGAGAAAGAAAAAATAGTTATAATATGACATAATAATAATAAATAAATGGAAAATATAAAATATAGATAAAAATGCTTGCCTCCTAAGAATGAATGATTCTACAAAAGAAATAAAAAACATATATTAATAACAACAATAATAATAATAATCAATGCAAATAATAATATCACATGCATGCTAATGGACCAATCCGCAAGCAAAATGAAAAAAAAAAGATTTAATTATGATAAAAACAGAATGGTAAGGACTATAACATAAATAGCCAAAAACATGGTGAAGGCGTCCGGAAGAATCAGGCTTGGGTCTTCATGGACGGGTCGGGTTGAGGCTGTAGTGCTGATGTTGCTGCAGTGTGAATGGCAGCTTAATTACGGTGCCGCTGGGGCATATCAGTTGGCAGATAGTGCAGTCTGAGTCAGCAGCGTCATTGTATAATGAAATCTGGTGGACACATCTGGGACTTGACCTTTCTTTTCTTGATTCAAAAGCTTGTAGAATTACCTCATTGATGACCACCATACATATGTCTTTTCACGAATTACAAGTGCTAGTCCCTGCTTTCCAGTCTTGTTCTTCCATGCATGGTTTTGTGAGTTATTTGCTCTTCTTATTGATCCCTCCTTAATTTAGATCTTCATCACAGTGAAAATCTTCCATAAAATTTTCTTGGGTGCTATATATGAATTTATACATGATCAAGACAAGCATGATCGTTGAGGCATTTGGATGGAGAACTACTCAAATTGGAAATGAAGGTTACATGTACCTTTTTATCTGCTTAATACTCCCAGGAAAAATATTGTTATCTTGTCTTTAGCACTTGTTTTCACTCTGCCTCAACTGCAGATGGAACTTGGGTTATAATAATTCATTCACATTTGTGAGGGTCCTCATTTATTGTATGTCTGTATCCGGATAGATCCATTTTCTATGTAATTGATGAGTATAAATAGGTCATTGATTCTTGTCGTCATTTGCCAACTTGTTTCTGGATTTCGATTGAAACGCTGTCCATATTGGGTGCGCAGAGTTGCATGTTAGTTCAGGTTTAAATAGGTTCAAATACGTAAACATCAAATCTGTTCTAGCAGATTAAAAACAGTAAAAATATCTTCATTCAGCCTTGATTAAACTGGGTCACCAATGGAATATCAAGCAACATTCTCAGTTTTTTTTCCTCGCAAATTTGTCAATTGAGTCATCTGTTCTCAGGGTTGCTCTTTGAAGGGTTTCCCGATGAGAAGAAAGAGAGAACTAACGGAATAGGACGACACATTGTCTAATTCTTCAAGTTATTTTCAAATAGCACTTTGATTGATTTTCTGGTTATTGTGTCGTGCTGCATGAATTAGAAAGGTAAAATGTAGGCATCAAACAAACATACAAAAGTCTTGCATGTACATATATGATTTAATTTCAGTTCCAACCACATTAGATATTTCTTGCACATTCCCAAGGTTATCAGCCCTTTAAACAGACCCCTCAATCTTATGAATCCAGGGACTCTTTGTTTGTTCCAAGCTTCCCAAAAAGGTTCCGAAATCCCCCGCGTTTTGGACTAGTTGAAGAAGACATCTTGGGAGATGAAAGCAGCCCATGCATCCTAGAGTCATGTAACTTCAGATTAAAACTTGAATTTGGGTTAAACTTTACAATGAGTCTCTACTGTTCCTTCAGAAAGTTTATTGAGGGGACACTCCTTGTGTTACCTGGAGGATGGCGAAGGCCTTCTCTGAAACGTATTTTTGTGAAAGGGTTGCACCTCTTTGTTGCAATTTGTCTGGGTGAAGACATAACCTAGCTTTCTGGTAAGCTTTTTTCACTTGTGAGCTTTCTTTAAGACTTGTTAATGGGATCATGTTCCAACCGCTACTTGGCCATAGTATCTGAATTCATTTTCATCCAATGAACAACATAAAGTTGGAATCTCGCCTGCAAATCAATGGAATCCTTGAAACTTGGGAAAGGTTAGTATCTTACTTGATCAAGTGTTGAAAGGAGCAATTGGATGTTATTTTCTTTCCCGGATGACCAAAGCTTTACATCATCATCCAAAATATCCATTTTAATCTGCAGTTCCGTCAAAGGAATAATGTACATGTTGATCAAATCTTGTTCATACTAATCCACAGAAATATTCTACAATGGCTCTATCTTACATGTTCTTCTGATCTCTCTTTTTCTCCTTTTGCTTCTGATTTCGTTTCTTCGTCTTCCTGAAAATTAAGAAGTTAAAAGGAAAACATATTAGCCAACCTTTTTGTATTTAGTCTGTGACACTGAAACAGAGCAAAAGGCTACTAATTTACCTTTGGAGATTGCATTGTTCCATGGCCATCCATTTGAAGGTCAAATGATTCAGGTGAAGCAGACCTTCCTGCAAATCATATACAGAAATTATGTTATTTTATCCATCTAATTGAAGTTTCATCATAAATATTTCAGATAAACACTAGAATATAATTCACAATCTCACCTTCTGTTTCAATTGACTGGGTTTTCTCAGAAGTAGTTTGAGTATTGTATCTTTCCTTCGCCCAAGCAATCGCTTCATCGATCGAAACTGCTTCACCACTACTCTCTCTAAGATCAGAATTGATCTCAATAACATAAGAACTCGTAACCTCATCATCATCTTCTTCTTCTTCTTCTTCTTCTCCTTCTTGATGAATTGAATCACTAGGCGCTCTGACTGGTTCATGACAAAGTGAAGAAGCGGGGGAGGAAGGGGAATTGAACTCAAAATCATCGGATGATATTTTGACACTTCTAAAAGAATGGGGATCCAAGCTTATGATTTCTGGGGAAGTTGCACGACGACTGAATCCATAATTATTTGATGAGCTTCTCATCAAGTTTTTGTATTCGTTTTCCACGTAAAGATTTTCGTTATAGGAAGAACGGCTGCTTGGAAATGATGGCATCCATTGTTGCCTTGAAGCTTTCTCATCTGCCGCCATTGTTGTTGAGTTCCATCTGCATGGAACATTAATTGGCCTGCACCTCCAAATACACATGTTTTTTTTTCAAATCTATTTCACTATTCTTTAACGTAATTTAACAAATATAATAAAACTTATTAGATTACCTGAGCTTTGAAGCAAAAGAAGAAAAGCCAACATCATCTCCTACCACCGGCCGGAGAGGGCTCAGCTCCTCCGAACTCAACACCGACGATGAGTTTGACTTCGCCTTCGAATTCGACCTTGACCTCTCCCTCCACCGCCAGTGATCATCAACCGTCCCAAAAACGTCATTGTAGAACCCTTCCTCTCTTGCAGGAATCTTAAACGCTGGTAGACTCCGGCCGTCCTTCATTGAACGAGATGAAATGAAATCCTGTTGGAGGAAAACATCTTCGTAAAAGGATGTCGACCGGGTTAAGTCGCCGGACAACTTCCGGCAAAGAACACTCCGTGGTGGGCCGCCGAAGACGTCAGAGAAGCCATCTACATCGAGATTGTGATCAGGCATCTCCATGGTGACATGGTTCATTGAGAATATGGAATTTTCCATAGATTTTCGTCGAGGAAGATGGTGGGTAGTTGACATTCCCATGCAGATTCGCCAAGATTCGTCCATTTAACTTGAGAAAGATTTTGCAAGAAGAGAAAAGAAATGAAGAGATTTTAGTTCTGGGTTTGCAAAAGATGATTACTTGTGTTTATATATATAAGGAGTGAAACTGGTAAGACTAAGAGCATGAGTTGAAGAAAATTAAAGAAAAGTAGCTTTTAAAAAAGCTAATTAATTTAGATGTACATATTTAAAGCTTTTATGAATGATGAAAGTAGAGGCACATACACGCCTTCTTTCCTGGAAAAGTTTGTTCCTTTTAATTGTGGTTTTTTAGTCCCCACCAAGAAATTATTTAACCTTTTCTCTGTCTTTTTGTTGTAAATTTGTTGCATTTGATCCAGAAATAAAGGGGGGAAAGTGAGCTTTAAATTTATAAGATTGTTCTTTGTATTGATGTGTATATAATATATTTAAAAGGGATATGTATATATTTTTTTAAATTTTTTGTTCATTTATACGGTTTTTATTTTGAAATGATGGAAACCAAATCATGATTATTGAAGTTAAAAAAATTAAAGCTGGTAAGTGGAAATGGTTGAAGGATATGGTGTTGCCTGATGTAAGCTTGAAATGAAAAAAGAAATGATGGTGAAGGATGGGCTGATATCAGAATAATCAGACAATGCATGCTCTTAAGTTGATTACTACCGAAAGCTTTTTGCCTGGAATCTTTCTACTTTCCAACACAAGCCATCATCAAAATCTTCAACCCAAAAACATGAGTCACCCCCTCACCCTGTTTGGCGTTGAACCAAAAAAGAGAAAGGTGCCAAGGTAATGAAGATGAAACAGAAAAGAAAAATTAAATGATGGATAGAGCAGAAGCTGTAGAATAATCGAATGGTTCGCTTTCAGTGTTGAGCTGTATGGTCCAAATACAATGAAAGCCAACCCTGCTGCCAAAATGTGGTGAGGGAAGGGAACATCTCTATTCCAACGTGATGAGGTGAAACCGAGATTGTATTATATTTCATGGATAAAAACAACAAATCAATCGGTTTCTTTCATCGCTGAATGATATGAGCAAAGATTAAAGGTTCAAAGCTTGTTGGTTTGAGGACCACTTGCTTCTGCAAATTTGCTAGTTTTCACCATGGTTTTACATCCATCATCATCAGAAGAGGAAATAATCAAATAAAATCCCAATATGAAAATAGTATCGATTGTTGAGATTTGATTAACAAACGACACTTCACATATTTTTCTGAATGAAATGAAAGTTGTCTTAACGTATATAACGTTTTTAAATATTACTCTATCTTTTGAAGTAAGGAAGATATTTATAAGTGAAAAAAATGCAAACTTTATTAAAAAAAACTTACAAAGCACATATAGACATGGAAATGGAGCCTTGTGTAAAGTGACTATACTTGGAACATAGTGATGGGTTTGATCATTTTGTAACCTAAAAGTTGGTGCAAAACTAGGGACGAAGAAGATGAAATGACAAAATGTACAAGCATATAGTTGCCCATTTCGAATAAGAGGGGGAAAATAAAATGATTGCTAATAGGATAAAGAATATAAGTAAAAAATAATGCTGTAAAGGACTACATTTTATGTAAATAACTTGAACATAACACGGGGTCGAATAAACTACACTCGATTCACCATTAAAAGCTTCCGTTTTCAATGTTTTTGGTTTTTGCAATCGAAGAGCCAAAAAAGCACGGCCCGGTCCTGTCACAACTCAGAAGAATGAAATCCACAAGGGATATAAAATTCCATTAAACACATGAAAAGGAGATGAATCTTTGGCAGGTGGATGGGTCGACCATGAAGCAGACATGTTAGAAGGTTTCATATGGTGCCTTTCGACATAAGATACCTCTTTATCTATACATATAAAATCCAATTGAAATTCTACAGAAAAAGTGAATGACAACTGAAAAGCCCCACCTTTCATTTCTGTACTTCTTTTGTTTATTTGGTCTTTACAGATTGTTTGAGTCCCTTACACCAGGGAGGGGACGTGCTTCAAAGTGTAATTTGCAAACAACGAAGCCTTATAGTATTTTAGTGTCATAATATAACTCACAATACATCACTGACATGTCAGAAGTGGAGTAGTGTAGTGTCGGTCTTGTGTAAATCAAATCCTCTGCAAATCTCTGAAAATATGGTTGGCTAGCTGTATATAGATAGTGGATCCCTCGTGACAAACTCGACTACTTTTCATGGTTGTGGCCATAAATATATACTGTACAGTTTGCACGAACCTCTGAAGACCCAGAGACTTCATTTGATACATGCCAAGACTGGAATAAAAATGGTGATTAGAATTTCCTTATATGAGGATCGACAGCTGAAAATATTATACCCTGATATTCTCAATTTGAAAAATTATACTTGCACATGAGCTCGCAGATAAATTATGGTAGGAGGTATCTGTTATGCTGATGATTCCCCTTTCATAATCGTACAAGTATACCAGCAGCAATGCAGAAAAATTTAACATTATAGGCCTGGCCCAAAAGATGGGTAGGCTCTGTAATATTTTTTAAAATGAGATTCTTAAAATATTCTATAATAGAAATTAATTTGTCAATTTTAAAATTACAAGTGATCTACGAAGTATTTTTACCAAAATTCATCATAGAAAATTATAAAAATAATATCAAAATATTCGTTACCAACATTATGTGTCACTTTCCTGAGAACCAAACGGAAAACTTGTTTTTCCTTTGAACGGAAATGTCTTTAGGGCATGAAGATTATACATGTAGAGATGGACGCAAAACTTTATACTACGGGGTTAAACCTCTAAAATTTTAGGAGGATGAAAACGAATTTTTCAATAAAAAATATATAGAAAAACCTAAAATATATGATAATTTTAAAATTCTAGAAGGTCATTATTCCCACCACTCCTTTTAATCTATCCCTATTTACATGACAAACTTGAAGATATTTATATGTGAAACCTCTAAATTTAGGGGTCATACAGAATAAAGATGCAATTAGACTTGCCTAAATCAATATTACTGGATAAAACTGAAAATTATTTCAAGATGGAAAAAGTTGTTTTCCATCATAAGATTATATTATAGCATCCACTTTCAAGCAGTGGCGGATCCAAAAATTTATAAATAGGAGTCCAAAATTTTAATTTTCTTTTCTTAAAAATAATGGGGTGCAAAAAAAATTTATTCCGTTTTTCTTTAACATATTATACTAAATTTCACTTTTTTTCCTAAATAATGGGATGCACTTGACCCCTAGGGGGATTAGTGCATCCACCCCTGCTTTCAAGCATCTCTGTTCGACTCCTGCATATGCTTTGGGTTGAAAACAGTTCATACAGGAACTCCGAATTATGGTATGAACAATTTTTCTTTATATAGTTTCATGTGATAATAAGATATTGATAATATACATTACACACATATTATTCGAACACGAATATTTTAAAAACTAACATTTTTTATAATCTCTCTGTCCTATGGGTTTATACGAACAACTTGAATGAGTAATACATGCATTAAGCATGGGCCACTATGCACGAACATGACAAACGCACCCTCGAGTTGGGGGCTGAAAGAGCAAAAATGGAGTTTGGTATAATTTGTCAAGCCATTGAATTACTGAAAGTCGATGTTAATCACATGGAGAAGTGGAAGGCATTAGAGGGTTAGGCGCACGATAAGATTTCTCTGGGCGTATATTAGTAGGGCTAACAATTTCAGGGTTATCCGTCGTGTCTCCGGCGCTCCTGGGCGTTCTCTATTCTCTTTCTCGGAGTTTCCTCTTCACCCAGTTTGCCTAGACTCCTTCTCCTCCTCACCCTGAGAAATCCATGGACTGGAGAAAGTTGTTTGGTGGTTCTAAAAATCACAATTTGGAATTCCACCCCCTAGGGTTTACGACGGTACCGCAACGGTTCATCCCCCTCGAGAAGTGCTTGACTCTGGAATTGAGGAGTGGAACCTCTCTCTCATTGGCCAACTTCTTGGTCATGTACCGAGCCTCACTTCATTGCAAAGAATTGTAAACTCCTTATGGAGGAAAGCTACGGCGGGAGTGTAAATCCAGGTGAGTATTGCTGGAAACAATTTATATGTTTTCTCCTTCTCATCTGCTACTGCTCATGACTAGGTCCTTGAAAATGGACTCTGGCATGTACTGAACATGCCCCTAATTCTAAGAAAATGGGAACCCAGTCTACAAAAATTAAGTTTCAATCTCTCTAGTTTGCCTATCTGGGTTCATTTCTACAATGTTCCCCTTGAATTATATTCACGTTTAGGACTCAGTTACATAGGTAGTGCAATTCGAATTCCACTTTCTATGGACACTGCCACTGCTTCAAAAACGCACCTAGAATTCGCTAAACTTTGTATCGAAGTAGGAGCAAAAGACATTATTCCTGAACAAATTGAAGTGGAACTAAAGGATAGAGTAAAGGTCACCGTTTCAGTTGAAGTTCCTTGGATGCCAGCTCGGTGTTCTTACTGTCAAATTTTTTGTCACAATGAAAAAGTATGTATGAATCCTAAAGACCATGTTGCTGCAAAAAAAATCTAATTTGGAGGAAAAAAGAGAAATCTACAAGTGTTGTCGAGACAGAGCCTTCAACTGTTGGAATTGAACTGCTACAAGAGACTTTAGTTTCTTCTTCAGAAAAATGTTCAGCTGAGGATAACTCTGCCAAAGGAAGTAATCAACAAAATGAAGATCTCCAAGTTCATACTGCCTCTACTGCAACCGAATCTCAAGTCAAAGATTTATCAAATGAAAGTATAGAGCTAAAAGAGGCTCACCAAGCCTCCTCTTTAGTGGAGCAAACCAGTTCAGACCCAACTGAATAAACTTTCAAGAACAAAAGTGATTTCTCCCCGACTATTCCTAAAAAAGGAATATGAAGGCCTGTCAAAGAGAAAAAGATGGCCATTTCAAGTTCTTTAAACGGATTCTAGATACTTAATGATACAGAGGAAATTCCTCCTGCTTCAATGGAAACTCAAAAGAAACCTCGAGCTGCGTCAAAAGGAGTAGTTGTCTTAGTAAAGGAGCTTAAACTAAAAAAGAAAGAAAAGCAAGATGGCCACAAGTGTTCTGTAGTTGGTGGGGGAG